GGGGGCTACCTGTGGTGGGAGTTCATGTCGCGGCTGTTCAGCAACTGCAGCATGGCCCAGGGGCAGTTCACGGCCGAGTGCGCGGGCAAGGTGGGTTGGGGTGGAAGTCCACGGTAGTGTGGGGTGTGGTTTGTGGAGGTGAGGTGAGGTGAGGTGAGGTGGGTGTAAAATGATGATAGGAAGGAGCCCTGGAGTCCATCTGTCTGTATATCCGGCTGTTATGTAGACGTGTGTGCATCACTGTACACGCTGGAGGCACACACACACACACACACACACACACGCACACACACACACACAGACATGCATGCAAACTCAGCCAGCATCCTTTCTCTACCGCCTCACCACATTCCAATCGCCGCGGCCTAGGATTACTTCCCTTCACTCCACTTCACGTCACTGAGTGTGGGTGCTGCTAACCATGGGTGTGTCCAGGTAGAGGGGGGCAACATTATCCCCCTCACCCTCGCCCTCACCCTTGTCAGCATCAGCATTGTCAACGTTGTTATCGTCACCATTACGATCGCCATCATCATCATCACCAGCAGCAGCAGCATCGTCCGGTCAGGGACCGGGTTCCCCCTCCCTGCAGCTGATGGCTGTAGCTGTGGCACTAGTTTCCTCTCTTCTGCCGGTCAGGGGCTCGGGTCGAGGTTTCTGCGCATAAAGACGCGCGCGCGCGTGCACACATACACGCACACACTCAAACATATACATGCAGGGATTGGCGGGGGGCGGAGGGGGTTCAGGCCACTGTGTATCACACAACGTGTAAGGGATAATATCGGATAGTAGTATTGGATCTGAACGGGATTTAGGATTTTATTTTGGGGTTTGGACATTGTTTGGCCACAAAGCAATGAGCGCCTGACCCAACTGCCCGGTCCAACCGCTCAACCGCTGTTCGTACAGGTGTACGACGCCGTGGAAGCCGCTTACCAAGCCGCCAGTAAAACGAAATGGGAGGCTTGTTCAACGAACTTTACCGAGACCGACGGAATAATTCCAATACTTGAAGTACGTGCTTAGGGGCTTGTGCTCTCTTAAAGGTGGCGAGTCTGTGCTTTCTTTTCTTTCGGTTTTGTGTCTTTGGGGGATTCCCGATATTTCCGTTCCTGCGTGAGTGAGTAGTTGGGGGTTGTTTGCGGTGGTTGAAATCATAACTTCATGTGTGTGTATGTATGTAGGTATATATATAGGTATGTATGTCGTAATCAACTGAGCATTTGGTGTGTACGACTAATGCATTCATGTCTCTTCGAAGATGATGTTGACCGATAAGGGGTGTGGGTGTTCCGGTATCAGCGACCCCACCCGCGGGCTGTGAGAACAACAGCTTCTTTAACACCACCAATGTACTACCGTGTAGATGTGGCTATCGTTCGTACACTGATATTGTCGTACTGAATATGCCGCAGGAGGAGCTGATGGCGCAGTTTGGCAATAACACCACGCCGCCGATAAAGCCGGTCGTCATTGAGCCCACGGTGTGTGTGTTTGTGTGTGTATTTGTGTGTGTGTGGAGGGGGGGGAAAGGGGGTTGAGGCGGAAGGGTTTTCTTCTGGGGGGGTTGTCCGGTTACTGCCTTTCCTTTCCACAGAGCCTTCCCTCCCTCCCTCCTGACAGATTCACTGACAGACAGACAGACTTACCTTCCAGTTGACCTTTCCCTAAGCTTGCCAGCTGACGAAGCTGATGGCATTGCGGCGCATATTGCGGCGCTAAGGGGGCTCGTGTGGTCCCCCCCTAAGGGGGCTCGTGTGTGGGGGGGGTTGCACTTGTTACACACCTCTATCTGGGCAACGGGTAACGCAACCGAGGTTTCCTACACAGTGGAAAAAATGGCGTTTTCTTGTGTAACAGACATACACGCATACACACATACACGCATACACACACAACACTCCGCTTGACTTGGGGTTGGCAAATGTTCATCATCATCATCATCATCGTCATCTCGCATCCTGCGTTATCATAAAGGATCGGAGCCCTTGTAACCCCCCACCCTACTTCAACTTCCAACTACCAACTATCAACCACCACCAGATCCGTATTAACGGCGCTCAGTACCGCGGCTCCCTGAAGGCGGGTGCCGTACTGCGCGCGTTGTGCGCCGCCTTCCCAACCGGCCACGAACCTGATATCTGCAACGAGAACTGGGTCAGTGACGACGAGTGTGCTGGACCGTACGGCGAGGGGTTTATCAAATGCCGTGTCAGGTAGGAGCTGCATACATACATACATACCCCTTTTATCCTTGGCATCAGCTTCACTCATTCGTGGTTCTTCTTCCCCCCCGTACCTCCCCCCCCCATCCTTTCCCCTCTCACGCCGTCTTCCAGTGAATCCAACTCCTCGTGTATCAACACTTTCCAGGGCTATCAGTGTCTCTGTGGATCGGGATTTGCCCTGGTGAGGGGGAGGGGGGGAGGGGGGGGAGGGGGGGGAGGG